GCCAGGGCCCCTCTAAGCTTTCTCTTGTGAATGAGACAACCTGAATTTCCCTTTCGGTGAGCAGAGGAGCATTGCTGTCTTTTCTTCTTGGACTTAAAAGCTTCCCTTGACTGCTCTTCTCTGGGCGCCTCTTGGTAGGTTGGTGACAGACTTCCTTAGAGGCAGGCAGACAGGCTGCTGCAGTGCCCTGCGTTTAGAACCATGTGCTGTAATTTTGTGTGTGTGTGTGGGAACAGGTGTCATAAATGTAATGCATATTTGCAAATGCAAGTTGTCAGTTTTGACTCGGTTAGAATCATGAAGGAGAGTTGAAAATTAGGGCATTTTCTTAGCTAGGATGTCTGCCAAGAATAGTTTTTTCCTTTAAAAAGAAAGAAACGTGCATTTTCCTCACTTAAAGACAAAAAAATGGATCAACTGCTTGCAGGTGGCTCTGCTGAAGGGACAGTCTGGTGAACGTGAGCCACTCTGACTGTGAAGGGGTGTCGATCACAGTAGCAATCTTAACTCTAAATCTTGCAATATGCCAACTCTTTGAGAGCATTGAGCGAAAATAATTAAAGGTGTTTTTTTAAAAACAAAAAACTTGAATAGCAGGAACTTGACAAGTTAGTAGAAATAGTAGGAATCCATCTTTCGAATTTTATATAATGGTTGCAAAGGGGATTTCGCTGCCACTGTACCTTGGGTAGGTAACTTAGTAATAAAATTCATAGTTCTTCATTTGCAGAGTAGGATAGTGGCCTGCTTCACTGCTCTTATAGGGTTTTTCAGGGTCTGTTGGGAAAATAACTGAGAATGGTATTAAGAGGCTTTTCACCATCAGATGTCTCATAAGTGCATTAATGTTTACATGGTGCCTCATCGGGACAGCAAGCGATGGCCTTTACTGCCCTCCCTGTGGCATTTTATAGCCCGAATGGGACACCGAGTGCCCAGGGATTGGAGACAGTAGGACAGAAGAGTCAGTCCTGCATGGCTGTGAGCTATGCATATTTAATACCAACCAGGTCATTTCCCCGTGTATGTTAGGACTGGGTGGTGCAATGGAAAGGAAGGTCCTATCAATAGGAAGTTTCTAATCCCTCCATGCACAGGCCGGGAGTTTCAGAGTCAGGTCAGGGAAGTGGTCACGTCCTCCCTCGACAGGAGCAGACCGTGAAGCAGTCCTTCGGAGACGGACTGGAGGGCACAGGCGCATTACCGCCTCGGACTTCCGGGAAGAGTCCTGTTCCTGTGTCCTCAAGTCCCAGGCACGATCAGGTGCTTCTGAGTGTGTGTGTTTTCTTCACATGCTACTGAGGCAGCACGAAGGAGGCCGTTTGTTACAGCCAGAGCCAAGCCAGGGGACCACCCGGCGAGGGGCCATCCTAGATCCTCTCCGTGGTGTTGAGTAAACCACACACATTTTTATCATTTCAAACTACCCTCATGTAGCCTCCTCAGCCCACAGTTGCATACATACGTACATTCAGTACATCAGCCTCCTCAGGGCACTCAGCTGCCCATTTTGGTTCCTTTACATATGGTGGCCCATCCACTAGGTGGAATATTAGAGAGAGGGGAGAGGGAAGTACGTGGCTGTAGCACCCCACTGCCTCCCCACATATTGGCCTTGCCCTTTGAAGATGAGAAATGGGCCTACATTGATGAGGTCTGAGCCTGAGGCAGGGTCAGGGAGCCAGCATGGCTCTGGAGGGAGTGAAGACTCTCACCTGAGTGTCCCAGGTGTGAGGGCCAGGGTTCGATGTCCGGGCACTTAGGATGGCCTTCGCTGGAGTCTCAGTGACCGGAAAGCTCGGAGAAGTTATGCAGCTCCCTGAGGAAGTGCAGCGATGAGTGGCGGCGGAATGAGAGCCCACGGCTGCCGAACCCGAGATTCGTTTCTTCCAGGGCATTGTCTTGTTTCTCAGGAAGGAGGGAGTCAGTTTCCAGAGTCATATTTCAGTTTAAAATGGAACCTAATTTTGGAAGAACTGGTATGTGATAATTAAGACTAAAGCCTTTACTTGGTCTGTTATATCTGAGATAAAAATAGTTGATGAGTTGTTAGGTCCTGATTCTGTAATCGCTCACTAAGGAAAACTGATATTCTGTATAAAGCAAATATTGTGTGAACGGGCAGCTCAGCTTCTGAACCATTGTCCTGAGTCTTAACCCTTTGAGTGCCAACCAATATCCTAGGAACTATGCTAAAATTGCCAAGGCATTTTTGCTGATTTTACAGCAGTTTAGGAAAAAAAGTATGAATCACAAGTAAATGAAGTTACATATTCAAAAACTGAAGGAAACCTTTACTACATTGACATATTTAGCAATATCATCATCACTAATAAAGGCAGACTTAGAACTGGACGCCATTTCGAAGCTTTGATAGCGCTCCCGGCACTTTTGGCGAAAGACAGGAGGAGCGCGATCGTGCTCCCCTGCACTCTAGGGGTTAATGCACTGGCAGTCCTGGTTCAGGTAGAGCGGGAACAAGGCAGGGACTGCTACTTGGTAACCCCTGGAGAGGTGGGGTTTCTTGATCTGTAAGGATCTAAGTGTGACCACATCACTCCCCACATCTCACCTGGCAGTTTCCCAGCACAGTGCTGCATGCGCCTCTTGAAAAGAGAGAAAGCTGGGGCAAGCCTTGTGCTGTTTTCTCGGATTCTGTCAGTCAGAAATTTGCTTTAGTCATTTGGAAGGAATTCCACTGCACAGAGTAGGCGTGTGTTTGCAGATTTGAGGGCTGACTGGGTGCTAAGGAGATGGTCTTGTGTCTCTTACGTGGAAGGGACTGGGTGATAGCAGCACCCTGTCCTCTTAAGTTCTACCCTTTTGTCTTGGATTCAAGGAAGTCATGATTAGGTTTCATGTGATGGGTACTCGTGGCAGTTGCTTGATACTGTGCTAAAAAGTGCATTTCTCTCCTTGTTGAGAGAAACAGGTTCAGGCATCATTCAGGATCAGGGCTGTGCTTGCATGTGCCATGCCCTCAGGTTCTTTGCTCAGTTTTTCTTAACAGTAAACCTGTGAAGTGGGCACAAGTTTACCCCTGATGACAGATGGGAGCTGGAGGCACCAGCGTCGTGCTGAGCCTGGGGAGGAGGCGCAGTGCGGTGCAGTACTGCCCGGCCCGGGCTCTGGGCCCGAGCTGCCACTGCAGGCTCCTCCATGCCCAGGGCGAGAGCTCGGTCTTCTGTGTACTGCTGCTTCTGTGTACTGGTGCTGTGGTCACACAAGGAAGAGGCCAAGGCTACAGCGCTTTCAGCACACACAAGTAGAAATCTTAAATGAGCAATTCAGAGAATGGTGCTATCAAAAGATGCTGAATCGTGGACAGACAGGTAGTAGAAACAGCTGTACGTATCAGAAATATGGGAGCCCATGCAACCTTCATCCAGTACTGCCTTCCTGGCCCGGAGCTGGGTTCCTTCTGCACGTCTCTGCGATAGAGCCTCATCGTTTTATTGCACATGTAGGCAGGACAGCATTTCCTGTCAGGATCCTGGGTGGCCCACTGTCAATGCAGGGCCAGGGCCAGACTGTTCTCTGGGCTCCATGGGCACGATGAGCATGCGATGACGGGTGCTCTGAGGCCGCAGTGAGGTGTCGGGTCAGGTCTGTTGAGGCTGGGCAGGCGGCACAGCAGGTCTGGAGGGCGAGAAGGCAGGGTTCCCTGTGCCCGACTCTGGATCTCCCTGCGCCTCAAGTAGAACTGCAGATTGCCTGAACTGCAGATGGGCCCCATTCACAGGGCAACACTGCAGGAGCCAGGAGGGCAGGCGTGGGGAAGGCCAGGTCGCAGTGCCTGCACGGGTGCGCGCTGGGGAGCTCTGGGCCTGGCCTGAAGGCGTGTGGGCCCTGGTTGCCTGTATGTACGAGGGTCACCCCTATCCGGGCACCTGTCCTGCTGTGAACTGCAGGGCAATGGGCCATCGCGGGGCTCCCCGTGACCATGGCTCATTTTCATAGGTTGGTGTTTTGACCGAGTAAGAACTTGAGTTCCTATGTAAACTTTCCAGAATTCTCCAGAATAAAGGGAGAGCTTTCCTCAGGCTCAAGCGCGAGTGTCTCAGTGCTCCATCCAGGGCCACAGAGAGGGCCCTGGGACACGGGGCTCTCGCCGTGCCTTCCCGGTGGCAGGGTGGCAGGCTGGGGACCGTTCCTCACCAAGCTCTCAAGTCGCTGGTGCTCAGGGTACCGCGGGCTCTTTGCTGCTCAGCTGGGAAATGACCGACCAGGGCAGAGGGTGCAGAGAGGAGGGAGACGCACAGGAATTGATCCAGTAGCCTTGCCCTGGTGAGGGGAGAATGACCGAATTTGAAATACCTACTGACAATGGGGGAAAAGGGACATATGTAAATACTTTCAACAATAACGATTAAAAAAATAGAAATGCCTAGTGATATAAGTGGATGACACATTTTTAGGTTCTAGGTCCGGAATTACCACAGAGCTGTGCAAAGGCCTCAGCATGCGCCCTCCCGCCCCGCCCCTGCACTCCCTTCCTTCTGGGGGACTCTCTCCCAGCCTTTCTGCACTGGGGTGCGCGAACCTTCAAGGAAGACTCTCAGATTAACTCCTTGAAGTCAAGTAATGGTGTTGGGAGCTCACCATTTCCCAATGGGGAAAAAGGACTGTTCATCATTTCAGCAGTACACACAAGGAGGTGTTTTTTGTTTGTTTTTTTGTCATTTCTTTTTTGAGTGCTCAACCTGATGTATAGAAGAACATATTTAAGTTGCTTGGATTGAGAGGTAACAATACAGAAATTAAACCCTGGGAAAAAAAGGGAAACTTATCAAAACTCATTTGTTTCCATTGTTCTGTTTATCACGTGTGGTTCATTGGTATTAGCAACGATATTGTTCTATTGGAAAGCATGGTCTATTTCATCATTATTTTTTTGGAAAAAAATATAGAAGAACTGATTTGTTGAAGCACCAACCATTCTGTCCTAGTGATTGTGCAAAACAGTGGTGCCAATTATCTTTCTTTCCTCTGTTTTTCAGGGTCGACATGTTAAAACAGGTCAGCTGGCGGCCATCAAAGTTATGGATGTTACTGAGGTAAGATGGGGTCACACACATACTTACCTAAACCGGGAGGGAGCAGTCAGGGACCCCGCCCTCCCAGTGGAAGAGCATTGTTCTGTTTGGAGAATCGATCTTGAACAAATTGCCCTCCTGTGACATTGCCACGACATTGTGGGGTCATAAGACCCAGCACAACAGTGGGCTAAATTGTTGCAGATGGTCCCCAAGTAACTAACAATCAGTAGCATTTTCTTAAAAACACACACAAAAAAACACACCTCTGAGTGATGTCATCCTTGGCAACATAATGGACCATAATTGGAAACGTCTTCTAGTGGAAAAGACGAGATTTGAGGGGATGGGAAAGTCACATAAATGGGGGAGAGTCAGGCTGTGGGGGAGGGGAGCTTCTCTGGGGTACGGGGCCACATTTGGGCCATTTATTTTATTTTTAACACGGTGAAGAAAACAGGTCCAGCCAGTTCCCAGAGGATTGAAAACAGAAACATCTGCTAGAACGCTGAGCAGATTGTTGGCAAAATTTAGTAGCAAGAAATAGTTCTTAAAATGGTCACGTGGGGTTTGCTGTGTAGCTGTAGGTGGAAGGATAAGCCAACTCCACAGAAAGGGAGGGCCTCCCTCCGCGTGTGCCTGTGTGCATACATGTGCTGAGTCATAGTTCCTGCTTAAATAGCCATGGGTCATAGTGACTAAATCCGTTCTGTCTTAAGTTACTGTTGACCTTTGAACAACATGGGTTTGGACTGTGTGGTTTCACTTATATGCAGATTTTTTTCAATAAATATGTTAAATGTGTTTTCTTATGATTTTCTTGGTATCTTCTTTTCTCTAGCTTACTTAGTGGTAAGAATACAGTATGTAGCACACACAGTACACAGAGTATGTGTTAATTAAGGCTTCTGGTCAACAGTAGGCGATTAGCAGTTAAGTTTTTGGGGAGTCATAAGTTATAAGCAATTTTCAATGGTCATCACCCCTAATCTATAGCCCCCCATGTTGTTAAAGGGTCAGCTGCATTTTCACCAGAAATTTTACTTCACATTCTCATGATTTCTTATAACTTGGTTAATTCTGAATAAGGTTTACCATCACAGATTCTAGAGAGAGTTAACCAGCAGCCTTGGGGACTTGGGGCATTTTTAAATCAAGCCACGATCTGCCCTAATCGGGTCTACGAGGAAGACGTGGCTGACTTGGTCTCAGGTGTACTGGTACAGGCGTGATCTCGGAAGAGGTGGAGAGCACCGTGGTCTCGGCTGCCGACAGGGACAGAGCTTCCACAGTGTGAGGTGTGGCGCTCTGTGAGGTGACTGCTCTCTTTTCTCTGCCAAAGAGGATAAGGGGACTTTGCAATGGAAAAGTGCCGTTGCGTGGTCGACTGGCCAGAGGCTTTTGTAGCACTGACTGCTGTGCAGCGTCCTGGGAGCACACGGGGATGTGGGTCTGCTGTGTGCAGGGTCCTGGGAGCACACGGGGATGTGGGTCTGCTGTGTGCAGGGTCCTGGGAGCACACGGGGATGTGGGTCTGCGGTGTGTACGGTCTTGGCACGCCTGGACTGCTGTGTGCAGGGTCCTGGGAGCACACGGGGATGTGGGTCTGCTGTGTGCAGGGTCCTGGGAGCACACGGGGATGTGGGTCTGCTGTGTGCAGGGTCCTGGGAGCACACGGGGATGTGGGTCTGCTGTGTGCAGGGTCCTGGGAGCACACGGGGATGTGGGTCTGCTGTGTGCAGGGTCCTGGGAGCACACGGGGATGTGGGTCTGCTGTGTGCAGGGTCCTGGGAGCACACGGGGATGTGGGTCTGCTGTGTGCAGGGTCCTGGGAGCACACGGGGATGTGGGTCTGCTGTGTGCAGGGTCCTGGGAGCACACGGGGATGTGGGTCTGCTGTGTGCAGGGTCCTGGGAGCACACGGGGATGTGGGTCTGCTGTGTGCAGGGTCCTGGGAGCACACGGGGATGTGGCTCTGCTGTGTGCAGGGTCCTGGGAGCACACGGGGATGTGGCTCTGCTGTGTGCAGGGTCCTGGGAGCACACGGGGATGTGGCTCTGCTGTGTGCAGGGTCCTTCCTGGTGTCCAGCTCATGGGAAATGGATGCTTTCCAATTAGATATGACTTTTAAGATTATGTTAAAGAGTGGTAAAGGAGCTGCAAATTCTGACTGTAATTTAAGTACAAAAGTCAAGTTATCTTGTGCGGGGCTCGCTGTGACTAGGATGCCCGTCTACCTTCGGTGCCTGGCGCTGGCACCGCCCTGGGAGGCCATGTGGCCGGAGCCCGTGCTCCGTGACATTTGTTAACACACGTCCTGGCAGACTGATGGGTGCCACCGTAACTGTCACCGTTTGGAGTTTTTGAAGCATCTGGAAGTCCTGAGAGCTGGTGTTTTCCTCACTTCCCCGGCGCTGCCTGGCTGTTGGCGGCTGTGGCTGCCTGGCCAGCTCCTTCCGCTCGCAGTGAGGCGGGTCTTCTCTGTGTCCTCCTCACGAGGCCTGGCTCTGGTTATACGTGTGCAGGACGTGGTCACTGTTTAAAAAACGTGTAAAACAAGAACATATCAAGGAGAGTTAAATTCTTACACTTTCCCCCCTTCCCCACCTCACATAAGCACTGTGGTGCTCGGCTGGCTTCCTATCATGTCTGAGCACAGCTCCAAACCGCACAGCTGTGTGCAGTAGACGCCTTTGTCCACTGCTGCTGAGTTGCATACAAAAAATCAGGCAATGTTGGAAAAATGCACTTTCAGGACTCCTTTAAAAATAATTATGCACAACCCATGTGCTGGGAGAAATGGACACCAAATGGTGAGTCTTGAGAACAAATGGAAACTCAATCAAGCGTTTACTGTCCTGACCTCTCCGTCCTGTGTCCACGCAGTGACCTCTGTGCTATCGCTTGGGGCACAGTGTGGGTAGAGGACATCGTGCAGCTGGCACCCCAGGAAACCTGCCCTTGCCTGACCCCCATCGGGGGCCTCTTGGCAGTCCTGCAAAGTTGTAGGCATTGGCTTGGGTCAGACCTGGGAGCAAATTCCTGAAATGTTTCTGGTTTCAACTCCATCAGGAGGAGAGTGGATTCGGCATGGTTTTTGACTTCTCAATTTTGTCACAAAAAGTTGTGAATGCTTATTTTTGGGAAAAATCACCGATTCTTGAGTCAGTTCCTTAAGTGAAATTGAGAGGCAGTTACCAGGCTCCTCTTATTCCTTCGGCTCTGAAGACCAGAGAAGCAGTGGTGTGGGGAGGTGGGTGTGGGGCCGCTCTCCGCCCAGCTCAGCTTCAACAGTCCCGAGTGGATTTGCTCCCAAGTGGCCGCACCTCACCTGCTTTGATTATGGACCTGGACCCAGAACACAAAGCCAGCAAAGCATTCATATCTCGCCCCGGGGCTAGGTGTTAGGAACTATAGGAAAACGAGAGATCTCGAAGAGAGGCATTTATTTGCAAGAGATGTAAAGATCCTATATAATAAATGGCTAATATGCAAATTTTCCCCTCGGGAGTTCGACCGACCAGGAGTTCAACTGCTCGCTATGACGTGTGCTGACCACCAGGGGGTGGCGCGGAATGAAGGAAGGCCCTGGCTGGCAGCCAGCAGCCAGGGAAGGATGGCCCCACCCAGCAGCCAGCAGCCGGGGGAAGGAAGGTCCTGATCGGTCCTGATTGCCAGCCGGGCCTAGGGACCCTACCCGTGCACGAATTTCCTGCATCGAGCCTCTAGTCTCTTTATATTGCTTCTCAGTTTTTAACATTTTTAAGAATTGATTATCTTTAGGATTTTGAAGAAAGCATGTCATTTATATGATTGGTTGTGGGAAGGGTTTCAGGAGCAGGTTAAGGATGTGTTCAAGCTGGGCAAGACCAGGACATGAGATCTAGAATGTGTTGTTTTGTTTTTGAAATAATTAGAGAGTCACATAAATTTGCACAAAAGTATATAAGGAGGTCCTATGCACCCTGCACCCAGTTTCCCCCCAGTGGTATAACTATCTTCTATACTAATAAAAGGGTAATATGCTAATCAGACCGGGTCGACCAGACATCTTCCAGATGTCCGACTTCCTTCCAGACAGTTAGGGGGTGACCAGGCTAGCAGGGGGGCAGTTAGGGGGCGACCAATCTGGCAAGCAGAGGCAGTTAGGTGTGATCAGGCAGGCCGGCAGGGGAGCAGTTAGGGGTGACCAAGCTGGCAGGGGAGCAGTTAGGGGGCAGCCAGGCTGGCAGGGGGGCAGTTAGGGTGTGACCAGGCCAGCAGGGGCCAGTTAGGGGGCGATCAGGCCGGCAAGCATAGGCAGTTAGGGGCAGTCAGGCAGGCAGGCAGGTAGAGTGGTTAAGGGCGATCAGGCAGGCAGGCAAACGAGCAGTTAGGAGCCAGCAGTCCTGGATTGCAAGAGGGATGTCCGACTGCCGGTTTAGGCCTGATCCCTGTGGGACAACCCCCAAAGGGTCCTGGATTGGAGAGAGTGCAGGCCAGGCTAAGGAACTCCTCCTCCTCCCCCTCCCGCATGAATTTTGTGCACTGGGCCTCTAGTCTATATATATATCTATATATATAAAAATCTAAGTGACCTTCGCGACCAAATGACCAGAACGACCAGTCAACCAGTCACTATGACACACACTGACCACCAGGGAGCAGACGCTCAACGCAGGAGCTGCCCTCTGGTGGTCAGTGCGCTCCCACAGCCAACCTCCTGCGGCCAGCTAACCTTCCATGGCCAGCCAACCTTCCATGGCCAGCCAACCTCCCCTGGTCCCTCCCCCCGGCTGGCAGGCCCCGAATCCTGGGAGCGCCCACCAAGGACAGCCCCTTGGTTCTGTCGCTTCTGTTGTCGCCGCAGGCTCCGCCCACCCCCGGAATGCAGGGAGGTGGCAAAGACACGCACGTGATTGGCCTGACCCTGATCAGCCCGCCCCGATCAGGACTGGGTGAGGTGGCCTCGATCGGCCCTGATCACCGGCCAGGCCTAGGGACCCCATTCATGCACGAATTTCGTGCACTGGGCCTCTAGT